TTACAAATATTCTTTACTCCTCAAAGCAGGTGAAAGCAATCGAATGTTGATTATAGTTAAAGGGAATAACTACAAATTTATTGTATATTAACTAACTTTGGTTAAGCGAAAATTTTGAATGAAGCTGAAATAATTGAAAAAGTCATGTAAATGGTGTTACATAGTTTGAAAATATTTAAGAATCAATAATGGAATTCTCATTGTCATTGTTTAAACTATCATCAGTTTTTTACAATCTTAATTATTAATTATTTCTAATTCCATTGCATTTTTTTGTGAATTTTGCATTCATTTAATAAGTTAATATTCGCTGCACACTCAAAATCAGTTTCTTATATTATTTTTGTCAGAGTACGACTCTTTTGCAATGTAATCTTTCGTCAGGGTGCATGAAATGGTGGCATACTATTCCAGTTTGTATCAAATTTTAGTCGATTGATATAAAATACTTCAAAGCATTTTTCTTAGTTCATTATGTGAATTGTGAATGATAACCTCTTTTTTAAATAAAAAAAATATTTAAAAGTTGTAAGTATTGTGATGTTTTTAAAAATTTACTGCCTTGATTTTATTAATTACACAAGTATTTTAAAGAAAGGAATTTTTCTATATTTATTTATTTACTTTTTGCACAAGCTCACTCCATATCTAATTAGTGACCGAACGGTTATTATAAAGCTAACTGTACGAGGGCGTTACGTTAGGTACATATCCCAGAACAGAAAAGAGTATATGCATATTAGGAAAATAGCGATTTATTGCTCACTCAGCGATACTCCAACTAAATTATTCTCGTTTGAAAAATGCCTTATTTGAAGGTCTGCGAAGATTTAATTTGTATCGCCGAAAACATATTCATACGATATTATGACAAGTTTGGAAAAAAGTGGCACGGGGTCAGATTTCGGAGCAGCCGTTCGTCGCTTTGTCCGGAGTAAGCAAGTCAAGCGATTGTTGTTGTTGTTGTAGCGCGTATCTAATTCCGGTTTGAGGATAAAGTGAAAAATGAGGTAGCATCGAAATCATTTAGCGGTAGGCCAAGAACGAGGTGTTTCGATAGGGCAACTCGAGTCTGCGATGCGTGCTGTTTTTTTTTAAAGGATATTTTCGTTGAAGGAGGTGTTGAGACAGCGGATATACTGGCTAAGTCATGTCGTCGGAATGGATGAAAACACTCCAGCGCTGAGAGAATTCGAATACCCGCCAGATGGACTAGAGTAAAAGGGAGACTTCCACACCTTTGCTAAGACCAGGTAGAGCAGGACTTGGCTATACTTGGAATCTACAATTGACGCCAAACAGCGAAAAGAGAGAACGACTGGCGTGGTGTTGTAAACTCAGCTATAACCGTGTTAGCGCTGTTTACGCCAATAAAGAAGAAGAAGGGCTGGTAATTTAGAGATATAACCCAGCTTAGGTCGGTAACTTAAAAGAGTCAGACGGTCCTTTGAGATGCATATTGTCTCAACTATCTCGCGCACTTTAAATCGGTACTCTGACAAAAAATTTTCAGTTATTTTTCGATTTGTTGAGAAAAAGCTATGAAACGTAGAGCTTTAGTAAAAATTACATCACAGCTGGGCTACAACAAAAAAATATAGCACAGACACTTCTAGTGCTTCACAGGATTGTCATTTTGCTTTCGCCAAGGAGTTGAAAGGTTCGATACCCAAATATCAATCCGAAAGCTTTCAATAAGCTTTGGCTCTGACGCTGTTGTCCATACGGTGTTTTCAAGGCTTCTTCTTCTTGTTTATTGAAGCAGACTCCGCTTACTCGCTTATAGCCGAGTTTACAAGAGCGCGCCAGTCGTTCTTGATTTTCGCTATTTGGCGCTAATTGGAGCTTTACAAGAGAGCGCCAGTGGTTCTTCCTTTTCGCTGTTTGACGCTAACTGGAGGTTCCAAGTGTAGCCAGGTCCTTCTCTACCTGGAATTTCAAACGGAGTTCTCATCCTTTACTTCTACAGGAGGATACTGCGTTGATCACTCTCAGAGCTGGAGTCTTTTCATCCATTCAATGTCGTCATATTTCTCGTACAGCTCATCGTTCTATCGCCTGCGTTATTCGTGGTTGCCAATGCGCAAATGACCATGAATCTTACGCAGAATCTTTCTCTCGAAAACTCGCACCATATATTAGGACGGGGATGAAGACTGACGTGCAGAATTTGGTCTTTGCTCGTCGAGAAAGGATTTTACTAGATCTAGATTGCCTACTCATTCTGAAGTAGCATCTGTTGGGAAGAGGTATTCTGCATTGGATTTAGAGGCTGACTTTGTTGGTGTTAATGCTGGTTCCAAGATAAACGAGATTATCTATGACTTCGAAGTTATGAATATCAACAGTGACATAGGAGCCAAGTCGCGCGGGCGACCACTGTTTATTTAATGTCAAGAGATATTTAGTCTTGCCTTGCATCCTTATCTGGTCAGTTTACACAGCCGTATTAGTTATGCGGGGATACTAAATTCAGACATAACGGCATAAAGACAGCTCCTTTTCGTGCTATCAAAAGCAGTTTTGAAATCGACGAAGAGATGGTGTGTGTCGATCCTCTTTTCGCGGGTCTTTTCCAAGATTTGGCTGAATATCAAATTTTTTGCTTTTCTGTCGTAAAGCCACACTGATAAGGTTTAATTAGTTTGTAGAAGGTGGGCTTTAATATTTTACAAAGTTCGCTCGAAGGAACATTATATGCGATGTTGAGGACACTTATTCCACGGTAGTTGGCGCAGATTGTGGAATCTGAAGGCTAGGTAGTTCCAGCAATGAAAATTGAATATTGTTATATCGTTCTTTTAAGAGTGCTGAATAAGTAAGTTTAGTGTGGAGTTGCACTTTGTGCGTTTCGTCGTGTTGACGAAAGCACAGTTGAAAGTTCGAACCGGAAGCACTTAATTATATGTAAGTTTAACCTATAATACATACTACAAAAAGTGTTAGCTTCAAGGGAAGGCTCTGATTTTTTATACGTAAATAAGGATAGGCATTCTCTGTGAAAGATGTGTTTCTCGATTTTGTTATTGGTAATACGCCCTTTTCTGCAATGAAGATTAAAAAAGTTTTTTTATATGATTTTTTTTTTAATAGTGGTAGTATTGTTGAGATGTGCATGAACGGAAAATTTGTTAAAATTTCTTTTTCCACGGTTGAAGATTAGATCCATTAAAATGCAATAGCTCAAGGATCTTTTTACAGGTTTGGTATACTATACGTGAAAAAACATACTTATGAATATTACATATTCAGCCAAAATTTTTAGTCTAAACTTTGGGACATGTACGAGTATAACAATTCAATAACATTTTTCGCGGTGGATTTACAGTTATTTAAAAGTTCTTCAGTAAGAACTATAAATTATAGTTAATACGACAAAATTATATGTACCATTAACGAGCCAAATAATACCGACAAATAAAACTGAGAGCAATTTGCCAAAAACGGTAAATTGTTGCAGCAGAGTTTTAACAGTATTTTTTGTCTCAGAGAACTTGCGCTCAGCAGCTGGGAACACTGCAGTGGCATTGAAAACAGCTGCTGTCAAAAGTTACTTATGTTAAGCTACTGTTACACAGGGGTTGGCTGTGGGTGGTTTGGGTTTGGGTGATGCAATGTAAAATATTCGGAGTTTTTGAAAGTACGAAGTTACACGGCGAAATGTAATGTAATGCAGCTTGCGTACGGCAAGGTGTAAAAGGCTAACACAGATTCGTTTGCAGCGAAAGGATGTTGCTGTTGGAGCAGCAAATGTTTCCACTGAATGGGCTCGAGTAAACGTGTCAGTGACTGCGCTGACGACACAGCATTACGGACGCGTTGATTATATAGTGCGGACGCATGTCGTGTCCGATTGCAGCCGTTATGTACGGAAGTTTGTCGCGAATTCGTAATTTGTACGGGAAAGTGTTGTGAATAAATAACAAGTTGCGATGTTTAAGTTGTAATTAGCAACTTCGGAAGGGTTTAGGAGCGCACTCGTATGTTAAAAAATATAGTAGTGAAATTTTGAAAAAAAAAAAAAATATGTGAAAATATTTAAGTGGTTTTTGTGAGCTATGTATATTTAAAGAAATTTGAAATGTTCATTAAAATAGAAAAATAATAAAAAAAATTATGCTTGATATATAAAATAAATTTTTAACAGCAAACCAGTTAGCTAAGCTGTTAGTTGGTTTATAGATTAATTTAATTAATATAATTAATTTATACAAAAATTTTGAATAATGAAAGATGAAAGTTCAACATTTTTATCTTCAAATCATAAGTGAAATGATAATACCGTTTGCCGATAATCGCAGTGATAAAGTTTTGACAATTAAAAAATAATAATCTGTTCCAATTGAATTGAAATCATAAAAAAACTGTTTAAAAATAATTATGTTGAAGTTTGTCCATTTTTTTTTAATTCATAATACTATTAAGATAGAGTTCTATGTTCACAACATTCATTTATAAAAGCTTGAACATAGTACAATTAATACGCATATTGAATAATTTTTAAAGCAGTTTTGTACTAAAAATAATAATAATTTTGTACTAATAATAATAATAAGAAAAAAATTCAGCAATAAAGTAAAATTGGTATGTATTTTAATTTACAATAGAAGAAATGCATTTATAATCATTTATAAAAGCGCTAAACGGTCGCACAACCGCCTCAAAAAAGTCATCGCGCCTTTTAATTAGCATTTTTTGTGTGAGTGTGTTGAAAAACTAACAGCGAAATGTTCGTTCGATTTAAATTTTTTCTTTAATCTTCGATACTAATAATACCAGTGGAAATACTGTCAGAAATTAAAAATTGTCATTAACAACACAAATAATTGATGGACACGGTGTGTTGTTCAACAACTAACAGCGAAATAATTCAGATCCTTTGATTGTCTAAAGTGTCACAGCCAGCAGCAGTCGTCATGTCACTCACAAATGAATTGACAACAATAATATTATTGTTGCTCACATTTTTGTTGACACCAACAATAACAACAAGAGCAATGGATAGCAAAAATGCCATGCAACAACAACAAGCAATGCATCGAAATGCTTTAGGTGAGTGTATTACAAAAAAAAAAATATACAAAATTTTTTATTTGTGCTCACGTTTCGACTGTCACTTAAATAAGGCAAAATCGCAAAATATTTAATTACTCCTCAATATTTCTTTTTTAAAACACTTATACCAACGATTTTTCCAGTCTTCGAAACACTTTCTATAAGCAAGTTTTGGTATGGCCTTCAGCTCCTTCAGCGAATTTTGTTTTATTTATGTCACGGAGCGGCAATTTCAGTTTGAGGAACAGGAAAAAATTACTCGGAGCCGATAAGTGTGTTGGCTTGTTTGCATGGCAAACTCATAATAAACCCATGTCTGATCGGTAGTTATAATGATCTCCATGAATGTGAGATGTTTACGGTACACTTTTTGAAAAGTTATAGCTTTATCGGGACGAGTCGAACAAGAACGCATTTCAAACCCAAAATATCCACCGAAATCATTCGAACGGACTCGCGAGAGATGTCTAGCCCCTTTGCTTGATTTTCAAACAATATACCCGAAGAACGAAGCATGTCTTCAATGATCTCTCTACCATCTTTGAAGGCTTTGTGCCACTCGTAGGCTTGTGTTTTTGAAAACTCTGAGTCACCGTAAGCCTTTTCCGCACCCAAAATTTGGTTAAAATACAAAATTTTAAACTAAAATTGAATTTTATCGCCATGAAAATTTATAATGTTTCCAAATATATTGTCAATAGCGCATTGAGAAGAATTGCAGTTCGTTAATTTAGTAATTAATTACACAAGAATTTGACAATAAAATTGAAAAATCGTGATGTAACTCTGTAAAGAGTGTTAAGTGGGAGCGAAAATATTAATATGTGTTCGGCTGTTCCATACAATTTTTCATTGTTATTCAGTTAATTTAAACGGATACTTTCAAAAACAAAATTAATATAATTGATTAACCTTACTTTCAGTATGTTTGATTGCCAAATACGATGCGTTAATTAATTACTTAATTGTCCCAGCTATTTGCTATACATAACATAGTATAATAATACATTATATAATATAAGAAATATAAATAAAAATAAATAAATACTTATATATCTTTATAGATGAAAATCACATGTCCGTTATGGACTCCTAAACTACTGCACCGATTTTAGTAAAATTTAGCACAGTATGTCCAGTACGAACCAACTTGAAGATAGGATAGTAAAAAACATTCATAAATAAAAAATACAGTGAAAGCTCTTCTAAGCGGACAACTCTATTAACTGCACAGACAGGCTGGTAACCAGAAATTTTTTTTTTTTTTCATTGAGTTATGTGTTCTTGAAGAAAAGGGGGGAAATAAGAGGCCGTGTCCTCATCGCCATAATTTCTACCCTTGTCATTATCTGAAAAATGAAACAATGACAAATTCTTAATGAGTACGAATGTCGTTATGTCATGAAGCAGCAAAACTAAAAAAAAAAATTCATAAAATGGCGGCTGCTCAAAAAAAAAGGTCGACTTTTTCACTAATTTTTCAATTTTGTCGATTTTTTTTTAAATATTACAAAGTTAAAATTTTTATTTTTTGTTGCTTCTAGTGATAGAGATATATACAAAGAATATGCATGCCATATTTCAAATAAATCGACTGATTAGAACTTGAGATATTGTGGCTACCGCATCAAAAAGAGGAGTTTTGAGAAAAAGGCGTTTAAAGTTTCCGTTAAGTTTCGGGCAGCGTAATAGATAGATACTCGTAGATAGTTTGCTCAACCGGTCTTTGAAAATAATTTGAGTTTTGAAAAATCGTTTAGGGAGATATTTTTGAATATCAAAGCTATCGAATTATAAAAAAAAAATCGTTTTTTCAAATTTGTAGACTAGAATACCCTCTTAAATTCGTAATTTTTTCCAATGAAATTTATTTGTATGAACATATTCAAAATTAAATCTCAAGTGCAATCCTTTGGATTTGTATACCGACAAAATCGTTTTCGCCTTTATTCGTAAAAAATTTTTTTACCGTATTGAATAGTTTATTATATGAATATTAGTATCAAATGTATATCACAGCAACGCGTGGCCGGATTCACTGTCCAGGATGCACCCCTAAACTACTGAACCGATTTTAGTAAAATTTAGCACACTATGCCCAGTTGATTTTTATTAAGTACCATCTATTAAGCGGGACTCTTTTAACCGGACAGAAGCGCTGGTAACCAGACATTGAGAAAGCAAACTTAAGTTCGTTATTTTTTCAATTTGGGATACTCACAACCTGTCATAAAGCATTATAAAGTCATTTTTACACTTGTTTAAAAACATTGTTGTTAGGTTACATACAAAAATTAGTTTACACAATTACAATTTCCAATGCTATGTTTTCGAATCGTTATAACTTATAACTTTATGAGACTATATGAAACCCCTAAATGAATTTTATTTGTATGAATATATTCAAAATTAAACCATAAGTACAATCCCTTGGATTCTTATACCGACAAAAACGTTTTCGCCTTTATTCGCAAATAAAATTTTCACTGTACTGAATAGTTTATTATATGAATAATAGTGTAAAATGTATACCAACGTGTCGCCGGATCCCCTAGGAATAATATATATAAAAGAAATGCAGGAAAGCCAAATAAATCGAAACAGATCTCTTTTAATAAAAGAAACAAGAAAAGCGTTAACTTCGGTTGCACGTAAGCTAAATACCCTTCACAGGTGCATTTCTGTTAGTAACTTTGTGTTCATTTTGTATGGAACAATTTCTTCTGATATTAAATTATTTCTACAATCAATAACTCATACCAAATTTCGTGAAGATATATCGTCAAATGAGGAAGTTTCTCATGCAAGCATTTGATTCCGATCATTCAGTTTGTATGTTAGCTATATGATATAGTCAACCGATCTGAACAATTTCTTTGGAGATTACATTGTTGCTCTAAAAAACAAACAGTGCCAACTTTTGTGAAGAGACATTGTCAAATGTGAAAGCTTTCCATACAAGAACTTAATTCTGATTGTTCAGTTTGTATGGCAGCTATATGTTATAGTGGTCCGATATCGGCAGTTCCGACAAATGGTTAGCTTCTTGAAGAGAAAATGACGTTTGCAAAATTTCAAAACGATATTTTAAAAACTGAGCGACTGGTTCGTATATTTACAGACAGACTGGCTAAATCGACTCAGCTCAACATACTGATCATTTATATATATACTTTATAGGGTCTCCGACGCTTCCTTGTGGATGTTACAAACTTCGTGACAAACTTAATATACACTGTTCAGGGTATAACGAGTATATGTTACATGTGTACATATATACTATTGTGGTCAAATTGAAAGGTGAATTTTGTCCATATCATCTCCTTCAAAGTAATCCCCTCCCTCTGCAGCACACTTATGCCAAAGAATTTTCCACTTATCATGGCACTTGGAAAAATTCTTCGCCTTCTTCGACTCAGCTTTTATATCCTCAATTGAGTCAAAACGGTGTCCTCGGAGTGGTCATGTGAATTTGCTGAATAGCCGGAAGTTACCCGAAGGTAAATCAGGCGAATGCGGTGGTTGCGGCACAATATTAGTTGAAAATGTGGCGAAATGATCACGAATAACCAATGCAGTATGAGATGGTGCATTATCGCACTTCTTGCTTCAATAAATTCAGACATGGTAAAAATCGAAGAATTCACTTACGACGAATATCTCAAATAGTAATGAATATTTTGATATCATAGATGTCACTAATAGTACTGCTAACTTACAGAAAAAAAAATTTATCGATTCAAAAAACAAGCGAAGTATAAATTAAAAATTCAATTTGATCACAGTAGTAAGAGGAGACGGGAGCTCTTGACATTAAACCCTTCTACCAGTTTTCCTCCCAAGCTTTGACTCAACTATAAAGGAGCTCACAATCTCGCCGGTATATGAGCTGAAAAGGAGCCGTCAGAGTTTAGTTGGATCAAATTGTTGATTCCACATATTTTTTGTTAGAATTTTTAAAATCTTCATAAAAAACTAATTGTAAATAAAATTTTTACTGTTAGAGTTTGAGTTTAACATAAGTTGCAATAAAACAAATGGAAACACAGTAAAAATAAGTTATTTATTAGAAAATAACATCATTTAAGTCAAAGGAAGTGGCGTTCTAATAGCTGTCAACAGCTGCATATGTCATATAATATAGAATTTTCAAGAAAATTTCGATTTCCCTGTTTACGTTAACTTATTAATTCGGTATTAGTTTTGTTGCCTCACCTAATAATCACCCAGTAAACCATAAGTACGGATATAATTACGTACTATACATGTTATCACATAAAATTACTTTTAGCAAAATATTAGCACCTAATAATGCAAGATAGCTCATAACAACATTTTACACTGTTTTGAAATTGTCTAAATGAGTCCCACTGTAATTTGCATGTGACTGTTTGGAGCATAAGAATCATGGTTTGTCTGCTAATTAAATTGTCGTATACACATACATATGTAAATACTATGTTAATAGCTTCTCATTGCATAGCTACTCTCTATTTTACAAACATACATGCTTATGTACACATAATACATACAAGTCGATAGTTGTAGTTGTTGCGTATGTGCATTGTAAAGCATGTTGCGTATACGCCACGTGCTATCTAGTGCATGAACATTTTGCAACTTCAATATTAATGCGTGAGTCACAGCTGCGGGCGGTTGATCCCATAACTGCTCCTGTGTGTGGGTGTGTGTTTGCTGATGCTTTGGCGGCTAATTTAAAAGTTTCATTGCAATTCCTCACGCAATGTAACAAGGTAATTTTGAAATTTTTATAAGCAGCACTAAAAATGTTGAAATCTCCTTGTCTTTGCTGCTATACACATACATACATACATATACATATGTAAAGACATGCGTTCATACAGCTGTTGACGTACATGTGTATAAACATATGCTCGTATAAAACTCGTATCTCACATCACGTGTACTTGGAAAGTTGATAGTAAAGTGTTTGCTTGCTTTCATTCACACACATCCGTACATATGTATAACCCTAA